CCACCACCCGCACCACCACCACCACCATCACCACCAGCGTCTGTCGGGCAACGTGAGCGGCAGCTTCACCCTCATGCGCGACGAGCGCGGGCTCCCGGCCATGAACAACCTTTACAGCCCCTACAAGGAGATGCCCGGCATGAGCCAGAGCCTGTCCCCACTGGCTGCTACGCCGCTGGGCAACGGGCTAGGCGGCCTCCACAATGCGCAGCAGAGTCTGCCTAACTACGGTCCACCGGGCCACGACAAAATGCTCAGCCCCAACTTTGACGCGCACCACACTGCCATGCTGACCCGCGGTGAGCAGCACCTGTCCCGAGGCCTCGGCACCCCGCCCGCAGCCATGATGTCCCACCTCAATGGCCTGCACCACCCGAGCCACACTCAGTCCCACGGGCCAGTGCTGGCTCCCAGCCGCGAGCGGCCCCCGTCGTCCTCGTCGGGTTCGCAGGTAGCCACGTCGGGCCAGTTGGAGGAGATCAACACCAAAGAGGTTGCCCAACGCATCACCGCAGAGCTCAAGCGCTACAGCATCCCACAGGCGATCTTCGCTCAGAGGGTGCTATGCCGGTCTCAGGGGACTCTCTCCGACCTGCTCCGGAATCCAAAACCGTGGAGTAAACTCAAATCTGGCAGGGAGACCTTCCGCAGGATGTGGAAGTGGCTGCAGGAGCCCGAGTTCCAGCGCATGTCTGCCTTACGCCTGGCAGGTAAGCCCAGGGGTGCAGCTAAGAGCCAGGCGGGAAATAGGCTCCCCTGAGCTTGTAGCCGCCCCCCACAGTCTGTGCTCCCAGTCTCTTCTCTCAGTCCGCTTTCTTCTCCCCTAGGTATTTCCCCTTTATGCGTCTTTATTTTTCTTACATTTCCTTTCCTTCTCTTTTCCCTTTTCTTTCTTTCTTTTTCTTCGCTTTTCCTCTTCTTCTTTCCTCTGTTCTAGTCCTTGAGTTTTCATTTATGGCCATCCCCTGATTTTGTTCACCCTCCTCCCAGTGTGCCAACCTTTGCCCTCGATTTCTGACTTTTCCTAGTAGTGGGACACGGAATGAGGTCGCTCTATCGCCTAGGAGTCCTCTCTTCCCAGGACGCATCAAAAAATGGGAATGGCTCTAAATCTTCTGCACTTGAACTCTTAGACAACACATTTCAGTTTTCTAGTCTTACTAGTTTCTAAGAGGCAATTGAGGAGCTTTGCTTCTTGAGAGAGAAAAAGCGCCCCCCTCCCAATATTGGGCAAATTCTTTGGCTGTTGGCAGGAGGCGTAGCCTGTCGGGCTGGGGAACTAGCGGCCAAGATTCAGCACCATTCCCAGAGTCCATCTGCCTTGATGTTGGCAGGGACTTTCTGACTTGTCTTGACTAAAACAGCTAGCTTTGGCCAGCTCCGTTGTCAGTATCTACAGCAAGGGGAGGATGCAAGGACGAAGGTTGGGAGTTTTATATTCACCGCTTTGGGAGGAGAGACAGAGGAAAACACACTGCCTCAGGAGCCAGCCGCCCTTGCCGGGCTTCTAGTGTTGTCTGAGATTTGCTGAGGTGTGCGGGGAGTCTGGCAGAGCTAAGAGCTCAGAAATTAAGATGCAGGTTAGTTAATACATCTCGGCCGTAGGCTGCAAGCTCCGCCTTTGCATTAAGCGGGCGTTGATTGTGCGCTTAGCCGGGTGACGGGGAGGGCTGGCTGCCCACGGGAGGGGACGGGTCGACGCGCGGGTTACATTGTTCTGGAGCGGGCTCGGCTCTTTGTGCCTCCTCTAGCGGCCGAGCCGCGAGGTACAACCCTCTATTGTTCTAGGAGCACTGAAACCTCCCGTGCGGGCGGCGGGTGCTGGAGCAAAGGCGAAAGACGCTGCAGTAGCTGCGACCAGTATATAGTAGCGCACTTTTATGCGCGAAGACCCCGCGCCGCGCGCCTGACTGACAACTGCTCTGCCCCTAGTACAGAGCCACGGACCCAGAAGGGAAAGTGTCCAGACCCCCAACTGAGGAGGACACACAATACCGTACTGCACGCCGGGATAGGCGGCTTCTCTCGCCTTAGCGGGAGTTGGGGGATGGGTTTCAGTATCCGCAGCACTGGGAGAGAACAATTCACAGTGGCATTGATTTGCATAGCCCGAATGTTTGGACGCGCTCTGTCGCAAACCCGCAGCGCACGGAGTGCTTCCGGAGCTGAGAGCTCAGGCTTCCACTCCTGCTCCGCTCACTGGAGCTTGTCCTGCACCCCTGAACCCGGACAGGGCTGCGTGATATGACAGAGAGCATATGCACTTCAACTTTGCGAGAGGGCTTTTCCATTCTTACAGCCTACTCCTTGGCCCACTGTTGGGGGATTTCAGTCTTCACTTAGTAACTGCCTCACGGTGATTTAAGAAGGTGAAGACCATCTTTCTGCCAAAGACCTTCCCCAAATCTGTGGATCCAAGTGCTTTAAGTCATTTTAGAAGTCTGCTGTTCTCAATCTCTCCCTCCCCCCTCTCTCTCCCCCCTCTCCTCTCCCTCTCTCTCTCTCTCTCTCTTCTATGTCCTCCTCTCCCACAATTGTCTCAAGTTTGTTCTTGGTTCCTGGCAAAGATAAAGCCAACTGAGGACAGAGTATCGAGGAGACTCAAGCGGGAGGCTTGCTGACAATTCAATGTAGTATTGCTCCTCTTTGTTTTAGATTCCCCCCAAATGTCACAGGCCCTCTTAAGCCAGCTCCAGCACCAGTGGCTGGTTTGCTGCGCACCACTGGGAGCCAGAAAGAACTTGCAGCTGCTCTTGGGGGTACAGCTAAAGGCAGAATGGCAGCTATTCTACTCCACCCGATCTCAGAGCGCTGCCGCCCCCTCATGCCTGTCGTGCAAAGGACACTGCTTTTGCAGACACGGTGCCTTCTGCCTATATAAGTGTAAAAGCAACGTGGAAAGTGATTGTTTACTATTAGCTTGTACAGTGGCCCCAAGCATTGGTGGGGTGATGAAGCGTGTGACATCCACAGAGTTCTAGAGGTGATTCCACAGGGCAGGCGTCCAAATGCATTGCCCACATCAGGCTTTTCTGCAGGAGGCGGCAGGCAGTGCAGCTGAGGACTCCACTTTGCTCAAGCATTCAAATGTGTGTCTGTTTTATTACCCTGGGTTGAAAAGGGACAAGAGCTTTAGCCTTTTTATCTGGCCATTTTATCAGCAACTACAAGTGTGTTGAGTGGTTATTATTACATAGAAGGCTTTTCAGTTTGGGGTCAGTAGATCAGTCTCTTCAGAAACACGCAGAAACTTGACTGGTAAGTAGGTATTGTGTGCTCAGGAGCCTAAGCGACAGGAGCAAATGGAGAAGAAAAGTGGAGGCCTTCTCCACGACAGGGCTATTGATCTGAATCCCTACCGACAGCTGCCAGGGCCCACCCCAGGGTAAACAGGGCCACACACTTCCCACTGCCCAGCCCCCATTTCACCCAGAACTGTCTTTCCTTTTACTTCCTTTCCTTTTTCTCACTTTGGGTCCCTCTGGGTCCTGCTAGAGTTCCCAGCAGCAAGGATTGAAGGGCCTTGGAGTCAAGAAGTCTGATTTGGCCAGTGCCGGCAAATCCCACCCATGGGCCAAGTACCATACTTCCACACTACCGAGGCAGTCATACCGTGTTTCCAGGTTGTATCTCACTGCTTCAGACTAGCCAAGCCCACAGTGGCACTTTAAAAGGGGAGGGAGAATACCTCGGAAACTCAGAGTTCAGACTCCAGCTGTCAGACAAATGAACCCCAAATGCATGGCAGCCATTATTTGGAAGGCCGTCCATCGGGTCTTCTGGGGTTCCTGAGGCTAGCCTCCAAGGGATGGGTTTTTATTAACCTGACCAGAGGCAGCAAGAACAAATTCCCCCAGATTGAAGCACACAACTCCACCTTTGAGCCCAAGGGGTCTCAGCACTAAGCACAAGCGGGAGCAAGGAGGAACTGAGAGAAGCCAAGCAAGAACCTAAGAGTGTGCCTCATGAAGCCTCCCTACACTCGCCACGGAGGTGTCCACTTCCTGAGAGGCCTAATTTGCTGGTGACCTGCCCAGAGCCTGCCTCCCACCTCTGCCGCAGACAGACACCCAGCCTTCTCGAGGAAGTAGCTCTCAGGGCCAGGCTACCTTCAGCTGAAGGCCCTTAACCAATCCAAAACATCCCGCCTGCCGCCTGGCACTGTGGAGCAGTCTGGGCAGGGTGCTGCAGCTTCTGCCAGGGGCGCTGCTTTGTGCCTGCCCCCTGCTGCACCAGAGCCGTCCTTGGGTAGGGTGGGCTACCCATCTTGCTTTTCACGATCCGGCCCAGCCCATCTCTCCCTGCTGTTTAGTCAGGGATTGAGGCTGCAGAGACCTAACGCAACCCACGCCATACAGAATAGATGATATATATGCCTGCTGGCTGATCGGATTAATAATTGAAAAGCCCGCTACCTTCCTTGCTTGGTCAAGTCTGGGTGCAGAGGGAGTGCCCTCCTAACAACCTTTTGGGTGGGTGGGAGTGGTCGGTGGAGGAGGGACAAGAAGGAGGGAGGGAGCTGAGGCGAGAATATCCCAGGACGCTGGGCACCCTCCACTCTGGAGGCCACGCGTTTATTTTTATTCCAGGCTTTCCACTGTGTGGTTCTGTCACTTTCTCAAACAAATGTGTATATGGAGAGAGATCGATGCTGATAATGTTTAGAAGATTAAAAGAGCATTAATGCTGGCAACAATAACGTAAACGTGTGGACCCAGATTTCATTGATCTGGAACTTGATCCGGCGCATTTCCAGTAAGTCCGTCGTTGCGCTCTTCCCAGCAGAAAGCTCGCTAGCGCCCAGGCTCCCAGGCGGCGCTTTGCCCAGCCGCTTTCCCCACTGGGGCAGGTTTTCAGGTCTGACCACAACTCCTCCTGAGCACAGCCCTAGACAGCTCCTTCCTCACCAGGGTTTTCTCCTCTCAAGGGGCTTCCAGCCCTCTGCCCCAGCTCGGGTGCACACACTGCTCTCCTATTCCTGACGACCTTTCAGGTGACAGCGTCTGCCGCGGAGACATTGCACACAAGGCTTTCAGTTCACTTACCTGTCTTTGCCTGTCCTCTTCACTAGGACACACCTGGTTCGACAGGCCTCAGCTGGCTTTTTTCTGAACTCTTCTGGAAAGCCCAGATGATTTCAAAGTTCAGTCTTAATATGCAAGAACAACTGAGTTTGGAGATGACTTGTTTAAAGCTGCCTGACAAATCATCCAATCCCCTCTCTCCTTATGGGTTCTTGCATTGAAAGTCCCACTTGAAATCTTCTTTCTGGGAATCAGTAGTTGGGCAAGTAAATGCTGCCCACTAACAAAAGCCAGGATTTTATCCCTCAGAATAGTTAGCTCTATTTTGGGCAAATTGGGCCAACCTGGGAAGAGTTGTCTCCTACCTCAGCTAGGGCAGGATGATAGGAAAAGTCCACCCTACCCCTTCCTGACTGGCCCTGAGGGAAGGTAGGAGGCCCATCCTAAGGGGGAGGGGTTATTCTCTGAGACACCTGAACTAACTGGAAAAGAAAGAACTTTTCAGCTCTTCCTTCTACCTTTGTGGGTCACCACTACACCCCTTAAGCCATCTCCCTGGCAGGCAGTGACTTGTGCTTCCAGAAGGAACACTGGAGTGGATTTTATGCAACGACTGAAACAGTTGGGACTGTAGTAGGAGAGGGAATGGGAACTCTGTTACTCTGTTTTTTGGAATTTACATAGCC